ACCAGCACCACCACAATCACATTACCAGCACGTACAGCATCACTATCCACCGCTACCAACACGGCACCATCAGCACCACCGTCCACCATCATCATCACCAGCACTACTACCACTAACACTAACTGCACCTCTGCCTGGCTATTGTATTACTTTGTCTCGAATTTTTCATACATACTGTACAACATAGGCATTTAGCTTATACGAACACTAATTATCTAATATAAATATATACTTATAAATATATAATGTCTTATTTTATAGTACACAATCTCTAAACTTAACTCTATTTTTTTTTAAATAATACATTTATTGATCTATAAAATCACGAAATATTATTCGTCTATTTATTTCAATGCGCGTGACCAACAGCCCTTTCATTCACACTGACTGAGCCGGCGCAAACCGGTTTGTACCCTGATGGAGCGTCAGTGAACCTGTCGGTGAGAGCTCACGCACACATCGCTGCGCTATGTGCGGGTGTACCTGCAGCGAGACGTTTGTATGTAGCTTCCCCACTGGTCGGTTTCTTTACTCATGTGGTCCTACCCCCTGTCTAGCCGACCCATTCGTAGTACAACCACAATATAGTTGCAGCGTGGCTCTACCACGTATATCTTCTCTGCGCTGTTCTTGGTCATATTTGCGCTACATAATTAGGATTTCAAACCAATATATGTTGTGTGTCATTTGTGGACCATATATTAAACACCAACTAAGCTGATTATTAATTTCCTTGAGAAAGAAATATAGGTTTAGCCGTTAAGTCGGCACAAGAAAAAGTACCTTAATGACTTATGTTAATCTATACATATAATAAAAATGTAAATAGGCGATGTCTGTACATTTTAGATTTATATAATAAAAGTGATTGAGAGGTACTAAACATAAGTAATTAAATACATTTCTACCATTTATAGAATTTTCTGTCTGTCTGTCTGTTTGTTTGTTAACGTATCACGTATAAAGTACCAATTTATATCATAAGAATCCTTAAAGAAATTATAAAGTGTATCTTCAGGTTACATTTAGTATTTATTTCATTAAAATTAGTTCATTACATTAAAATTTATGATAAATATTCTGAATTATGGCTACGAAGTATAGGTACGAATTTGTTCAATGGTGGCGTTCGTCATCAAGTAGGTACATTTTAAACTAATATCATATTATAAATCATAATCATAATTAAATGATGTAAAATAATGTTATATAATGATATAATTATATCTAAAACGCAGTAAACAAAAGTATGAAAGAATGTAATAAATATATAAAAAAAATATATTAACCTTATTATCTAAATCTTAAGTACCTACAATAATTAACCCATTTCATTGATAGATGGTGGTGTTGCACAAATGAAATACAAAAAGGCAGGTTGTGGTTTCTTCCTGTAGATGAGTTTTCATATTTCTCATTTATTCTTTACCGCCGAGTACTCTACGTGGTAAATCAAATTTTAAAAGAGCTATTAACAATTTCGTTAGTTTCTGCGAGGATCAAACTTTCTTTTTTGCTTACTATGCAGGCCTGATTTATAAGTTCTTTTATGTTTTTATTATTGTATCAATTGCGTCAATTAATCTCTTTTATTTTTAGAATTGAATTTAACAGCGCCATCTATCTTTAAATCTCTATACATGCGGTGATAACATGCTATGTCTGTTTCTGTATATTGTATTCTGTTTCTGTATTTGTATTAATTTGTGACTAAAATCATTATGGAGACTAAAATTCATTAAATAAGTACATTTTTATAATTTTTAGAATTGTCTGTTTGTCTGTCTGTCTCTCTGTTTGTTTATGAACGCATCACGTCACATCTTTTTTTCAAAGAAATCGTTAAGAAAATCATAAAGCGTATCTTCCAGTTCATTTAATCTTTGTTTTTAAAATTGGTTAATTCTATCCAAAGTTATGATTATTATTTTGAAATGTAGGTTCAATTTGTTTAGAGGCGCCATAAAATCTCAGAAATAGTAAAAAAAACGTTCTATAATAATATATTTATATTTAAATCACAGTAAACAAAAAAATATGTTTTCCTTAAATTAAAAAAAGGATGTTTTCTCACAAAGAACGTAATAGATGGCGTTGTACAAATTACAACATTTTCTGAATTGCGGTGTTTATATTTTTCACCGGTGACTCGTATTGAGACTCACTGAAGTAATTTACGTTAACGAATCCATCTCCATTCAAGCTAAAAGAGCTGTGTAGGATGTAGGCTAACAGCACAAACATCGTCGGCAAACAAGAAACCAAAAAAAGATACGTACGCCGAAGCTAAACGTAGCAAAATTGCAACAAAAACAAAATGTAATGATGTTGTTTTATACCAAGTATCCATCTTATATCAAACATATCAAATAACTTTCCTTTCGGTTTTAAGCGTGTTCTGTTCCCATTTCCCAGTCAGCGTGTGTTATGCGATGACTGATGACCGTAAATAAAGCGCAAGGTCAAACTTTACGCGTTGCAGGAGTGGACCCGCCTAAGGGTATTAGTGTTCTGTGAGTGGACCTCAATACTGACTGTTTTGCACATGGCCAACTCTATGTTGCTTTTTCCCGTGTTAGTAGCTCCCGTAAATTTTTTCTGTACGCCCCGGCTGTCTACTTCTAACGTCGTTTACACAGAAGTTCTATCAAAAACGACTCAGAACTTTGAGCATAATGATTTATTTTCTTACCACTTATTCATATAGTAATGATATAAATTGTTTAATTTTCTCTTACCTAAACGTCAAATTCTTTAAGTAAAACCTATATACGCGAGCACAGCTAGTAAAGTAATATAACAGCAGGAACTGTTAATAATATACCGTCTATGAGAGTAGGTAATAAGATATCTTGATTGAACTCCTAACGGAGCGCGCAGCAATTCATGATGCAAATCTTTCTATCGTTATTATTATCATCTATATGTTAAATAAGGATGAATAGATATAGCCACAGTATAGCTTTATTTCAAGTTTTACGGCTCAGGGAACTTAAATAGTGATCATATTGATAATAGTCAGGGATGGATGTCAAAAAACTCCTACAATTTGTTAAATGCATCAATAATGTTAGACAAAATGCTGCATGCCCTTTTTAGGTCATAACTCTGCTGGACTTGCAATTTCCTACTAAATCTGGTAACCATGACTGATATGTCGTTAGTTCTTTTCGTTACGTATTCTAATTCTATCATACGAAAAATGACGAGCGTAGCTATCTACACAAATCGATTATTAATTACCTTAATGCTTATCCTCAGTAACTGTGTAGGTACTGTCTACCGTAAAACTACCTAACTTGTTAACCAGTTTTTACGTTAACTGTAGCGTTATTTTATCGGAAAAAATACACAGTAATTTACAAGACATGAGAAGTGATATAGTTTTTCTCGAAATGTATATTAAATTGTTTATTTATTAACAACATTCTTTTCCAAACAAAATTACTCATTTTTCTTTATCACAAAAGTTTCCAACAACTAAAACATACATAGGTGTAATGTAGATAGAATTATAACTTTTACTACAGTAAAAGTACTAAAGTATTTTTTATAGAATAAGGGTGACAAACGAGCATACAGTTCTCATGATGTTAAATGGTTGCTGTGTGGCCCATTAACATTTTTCCTATCCTCGATTAACAATCAAAACGCAGATGCGTTGTCGCCCCTGAGGACTGAGATGTAATCCCTCGTTTCCAGTAAAAAGGGTCTCAGGTTCTCTACAATCACCATACGAAACACAAACACAACAGCATTCAGAAACTGTCGTCAATTGTTTTGACGTAATTCTAGTTGAAATAAATATAAATTAATGTAAATTTAACCTTAGATGCATTGCCTAAAGTTGTATTCACAAAGCTACGTACAAATTAAAAGCCCACCCAAATGTTCGAGTGCGCGCTCATTCGGTAAGGACATTTTTTGTCACTGATTGTGTATTTAGTTTTTTATTAGTGATCGATGATCCCCTCGCTTAGTTTTATCCACTCTTTGAGTATGGGCACACCGGTGGATATAATTATCCACAGTAGATAAAATGGGAGATCCCCGTAATAATTATTACCATTATAAGAAAATAAAATACAACTTAAACCCATGTCCCATGAACTAGGATAAAATTGTCCCTTTGAAATGTCAAAAAAGCATAATTTTTTATCTTTCATTTGGCCCCATGCTACGGACGGGGGGTAAATTATGTCTACTCGTTATGTCAAAAATATACTCCTTTCCCCCGTTGCCGTGCTTTGGCATAATGACAAGATAATTTTATCTCTTGTCAGTGGATTCAAGGGATAAACTTTTTGTCCCCAGCCCATGCAAGCCGTGCAGTATGGCTCTCTACACTCTGGTGATTGGTCACATCACTGTAACGTTACTACTCTATGAAAGCAGCGTGTCATTATACGGCATACTTATACCGTACCTATGCTATGGGAATCTTGTTGCGAGAAAGTGCGCGTGATCTTTAGGTGCGGGTGGTGCGGAGAGCGGTAGAGTTCTACTCACACACCCAAGGTCGTTGGTGCGGGGACAAGCCGTAACCTTCAACTGTATATACTATGTCACCAGAAGATAACATGCATGATTGCAGCAACTTGGAATCGATGCAGGGTTGGTCCAATGAATTTGTTAATAAATTCACATTAATCAGGCAATTTTAATTGTTGATTTACCACGAATTCAGCAGTGAAAGAAAACATCTTAAGTAAATCTGCATGTCTGACAGGTTGAGCAAAAAAAAAACGAACAACTTGTTTTTGGCCCACCGCATTCAAATCAGCCGTATGTTACAGTAACTGCGGCTTAGTTATCAAGATGTACGGTCTCGAAATAATTGTCCAAAGTCTACATATCAAATAAACAGTCTCACTGTTTTGTACTTGAAGTTAGCCAGTCTTATCGCTTGTAACAAGTAAAGGCAAACATAACAAATGTTGCATGAAACTAGCAGGCGCGCCGCGTGCGCTGCCGTAACATCACATTCATATTTAAACTTCACAGTCTGTTCTAGTAGATCGTCGTTGTGAGTCGCATTTGCTGACGCTGTCCTGCATTTCTTAAATGTTAGCAAATAAATGTTTGTGATAACTGAAAAGTGTGGTAATTTTAAAACAGTTATAACAATATGGAATTGCAGCTGCGTACAAATGAAAACGGTAAGATAAATCGGCGATAAGTGAAAGTGTGACATTTCTGCGTATATTGACCTCGAGTTTGCAATTTTATTAACCTTGCCAAGTTAGAATTAATTGAGAATATTAAATTCAAACTAAAGGCAACTTATAACGAATGTCATCATGTTAAAGAATATTCAAATACTTAAGTACAGCCTAACATATTGACTGTGCGAAAAAGTTTACAGCTGACGATTATTTACTAAATATTAAGCAAGAAATAATAATCCTTAATATCTTGATATGTGTGAAGATTAAATGAAACTTTTACTATATTTACTATTTAAGGTTTTATTGTTAAACCTGTGGTTTGCTGCTTGATTAAAACTGATTTTTCAGCCATCAGTACATTTCAATTTCAAGTGATGCTTAACCATATTCAACTTTTTGACACACTCGCACACACTCCTTTTTTATCAGCCCGTGAAAGTAAAATTAAGTAAAATTTTGGACGCATAAACATGCACCTAAAACTATAATGTTGGTTACAAAAATGATTTTAGATGCTTATGCGTATGTGTGAGTGCGTGTTCTTACAATAAGTTGAGCATGGTTTGGCTTGGTTTTAACGTCACTTAAAATGTACGCATCGCTCCATCTGTTTCTTTATTGGTCTGTGGTCATCAGGTAAATGTTATTCATAGGATTTACAACAAAAATAATTTAAAAATTACAGTTGTATGATTGAAATAGTTTAATAATTCTTAAATTTTTATATATAATTAGCGAACTTCCCCGGCTTTGCCTGGGTGGGGTCTATTAGAGTAGTGTTAGGTATTTAGATTTAAGAAAATTATCTTAGACCATTTATTTTATAAATTTATAATTTTAAAAAAATCCGAGGCTTTCGGATAAAATAATATAGACTAGATCACTCCTTGTCCTGACAGTGCTTGCTTGTTGCCAATAAATCACATTCAATTTGGGATAATTTCAAATAAAAGTAGAAGCCTTATTTACTCGTATTATCAAAAACTGCAATGACGGTTTATAATTATTTCTATATTTGAACTTATGGCTACTCTTTGAAAAATAATAACTCTGCATTTACGGTTGTACATGAATGGGTTGGTATAACCGCGGAAGGACCACGCTCTCACAGAATATCAGCGTATAATAGCAGCTTAATGCTGCTGTGTTTCGTATGGTGAGTGTAGATTTAGTGATCCGAAGACCCTTTTTACTGGTAACGAGGTATGCTTAGTGTTAAAAGAAAAAAAATTACGTCTTAAAACCAAAGCACAGTACGGTAAGAAGTAAAACTGTTATCTATCTCAATTTATATTTCATGTTCGTGACATGCATGATTTAAAATTAGAAGTGGTTAAGAATTTATTTTGAAACTGTACCTCTCAAACTTACAATAAGTACCTACATAATACGAAAAGAGCAAAATCATAACCTAGGCTGGCATAAGGTACCTAAAAGGACAACATTCAGTACAGAGTAGCTGAAATTTGAGCCACAACGCTTTTTTTTTGGTAATTGTTGTTTTTCAAATTGTTGTGGAAATAATATGATTATTATGTAAATAAGAATATGAGTAAATGAATATTCGTTACATTTTTGCATAAATTACATACCTATTGATTAAAACAAGTGTTTTAAAATATTGTGCTCTTATTAAAATACCGAATTATTAAAGTTGAACACTGAAACACTGGTACTAGGGCATTCACCCTAATAATAGGCATAAAAAGTAGGTAAGCACACCTTATTACAATAACATTGGTTTGAGATTTCAAAATAAAAGTGGTGAAAATATAAATATATCCGTGAGATCACTTTTATTCAATGTGTAGAATGCGTCTCAATATAAAGAATCAGAATCTGCTTTCAGTCTGAGGTAGTCTATCTTACTCATATAATATAGTCCTCAGGGGTGACAACATCTCTACATTTTATCTAAATTTGAATCGAGGTGGCTTGTGCGCTTTATTGTGTTGTCACCTTTATTCTATAAAATGAAAATAAAATAAATAAAACAAAATAATCCGCTCTGTTACTACACAGAATATTTATTCTTTATTATATAGGTATATATCTATATCTATGTCTATAATCAAAGTTATTAATTTAGGAAAACAGAAACTAATTTTTAAAATAAATAATGTTTCGTAATTTCTACCTATTAATACCCCTAGGATAGAATTTCTACCTTTTATTATTAAGTAATTTTCTTTGTAACAATTTATAGCTTTTATTTTTCAAAGTCAGTCAGACCTATGCATGGTTTCCCGTGGCTTTAACATTTTTTTGAGGAATGTGTGCCGCACGTATATTATCAGGTACTCATATATTACTTACTCTCATGGTAAATAACTATTGGTCTTAACGGAAGTACTTCATCTGTTCAATTACCAGATACGAAGTTTTATTTGCGGTCATGTGAATTATAATGACGACGTTTACATTGCATTTTTCTTGGTGGATGAAACACAAATTGTTACAATTTAGTTATGTAGTTAGAAGCTCAATAATGACATAAAATTGGACTACGTAGTAATAGTAGGTAGTTAAGTTTGATTATTATATGCGATGCATTAAATATTTAGTCGAATTGAATTAAGTACAGTCTAACCATCCAACCATGAATAAAGTTTTATAGGAATTGCATAAAATGTTAAATAATCGATTATGAAAATAATCGAATAACAACAATTATTATGGTTTTATGACAGAAGCGTTACTTCATACACATATACGCCTATATGAAGATTCTGACATGTCTCTGGATTTGCCGGTAGATACCCTATTTCTCTTTCGTAGTCGAGAATATCTCTGAGTTCAAAAAAGACCAGGAGCACATTATCATCATTATCTTCATCATTATCACCATTACACGATAAGATGAGACGTGGGTAGGTGTTATATCACAACCTCCATTTCTTCCGCAATTTCGTGCAATGTTACTGGCACAACTAACAAACAATAACGTAGGTTCCGAAGGAATATTTTAGATATTTTTTTAAAGAAATAAATATATTAATTTTGGCCTTTCAGTATATTTACGTAAATCTAATGTATGTAGGTACACAAAAACAAAAAAAGTTTTATTAAAAATACTTAGTGATGTACATATACTATAAATGCTAGGAACAACACAAGTAACAACACAAATACCAGTTATTCGACTCCAAAGTGTCAGTAATTCCTTCATGGGGCAATGTATATACTCTCATAACAGAGTCCCAGAAAATATGCAGGCCTTATCTATCAAAAGGTTTAAAATTTTTATTAAACAAAAATTGTTTAATATGGGTAATAGTGATTTCAAGGAGAGATGAAATAATGACAATTTAAAAAGGTAAAAAGTGCACATTGACAAGTTTTGCTATGATTTAAATAGTTTTTCTAAAAGTGGTTTGGTGTTTTATGTACATAAAAAAAAAATGGTGAATCTAACACGTGCGGAGCCGGGTTGAGTTGCTAGTAATGAATAAGTACCTTGAATGAGTTAAAAAATATCTTATGGCGGCTGTACACGCTCGTCGAGACACTCGTGGTGTCTCGACGAGCGTGTACAGCCGCCATAAGTTAGCGCTTTCGGCAGCGTGTCAGTTTTTCGCTTTCGGCAGCGTGTCAGTTTTTTGGGCTCGAGTCAAAGGGTCTCGTGAGTCATGTGAAGAAAACGAGAGCGCGCCTGTACACATGTAGGGATCAATATTGTTAAATAAATAAAAATATAGGTAGTTATATCAACCATCCACTATCTTTTTCTTCGTCATGACTTATTCATTTTCTTTTAATGATAAATGTGTAAAAAAATATAATAACTAATAGAACAAAAGCAAAACGCGCAATAGTTTCATCAGGTCGCAGGTCTATCGCAGCGGGCATCCGGAGTTCAAGTGATACAACGAGTGTGTACATGGTGTGTTCTCGTGTCGAGCCCCTACGCGACGAGAGGCACGCGAGGCGTCGAGACGAGCGTGTATAGCCGCCATTATATCTCACAGAATCTACTTTTCATGTCACGCGTGTAATCATTTAGAACGGGCTGTTTTCCGCAACTCCACATCTATGCGCGTATTTCGCTTGTGGTATGGTGCGTGTAATCATTTTTCGATTGTATATTATCAGTATGATATTTTTATTATCTACATACATAAATAATAAATTATAAATTTCATTTTAATTATAAATAATAAATTTCATTTTTCTGAAAAGACTTAAAATAATAGTGCATGGTCTATCTTTGTAATTTATATACTTATTATACTCTTTGGTTCATTTAGAATGTCAACCTTCAATCATATCAAATAAGGCCACAAATTTTTTAATATACTAATTTAAAACAGATTTTAGTACAACTTCATATAATATGTATATGCCAAAATGCGGGGCGATTTTCCATGATTTATTAATTTTTAATATATAAGTTTTTAATTAAAGTCTTGTACACTTAATATTATGTAAAAGCACTAAACAATTTAATCTAAGCCAGTGCGGATTACCATCAGTTGTGTTAATCACTAAATAAAATGTAAAAGTAAAAAACAGGATTTATCATCATCAATGTCACCATAAATAGTCTAAAAAATAGATAAGTTTTTACAACTTACAATTTAAAACCACATAGGCTCTGATTTTGAGCTCAAATAAAAATAACAATGTAGATAGCATTGTTATCTATATTTATGCTCAAAGTTAAATTGTACTAATTTATGGTACCTACTAAAAGCGGGCGCCTACTATCATAGCAGTTGCATCATAAAATCTACGTACCATTTGGCGACCGTTTAAATCTAAATTTTTAACGCCGAAGAAGACAACCCCTAAAGTCGTATGTACTTTGGTGGGATCTTAGTTTTCAGATTGACACCGCACCTGTAATTTTCCTTTCAAACACTTCAAAACTTTAATGTAGAGAGAGGAATTTAGCTAAAGGAAAAGTATTTAAGGTGATTGTGTCACTACCAACGAAATTATCTAATAAAGATACTGATCAGAACTGTATATAATATCTATTATCTATTAGC